GGGTATACAAATTTTTCTAGTTAAAACATTGCGCTCCTCCCCTTTGACTAACACAGTGCTCCCCTCTCTTCTGACTAACATCCGTGTGGACGATTTAGGAATGGCATTTTGTTACAAATTCTGAGTTCCTGTCTTTTATGATTTTTTGTTTTTATATTTCAAAATTCATCCAGCAGGCTGGTTTTGGCCCACATGCTGTACGTTTGACACCCCTGCATCAGGCTGTACATGTGTGTAATTTGGCAGCATGAATATATATGGTGGGCATCATCTGCATAGCAGTGAAAATGCTATGTTTTTGATACTGCCTAACTGAAGCACCTATAATGTAAACAGAATTAGTGCAAACACAGAACCCTGTGGAACTCCATAATTAACCTTAGTGTATGAAGAAACCACTGCAGAACATTACTGTTAAATCCTACAGCATGCTCTAATTGTTATAATAAAATATTATGGTCAGCGGTATCAAATGCTGCACTAAGGTCTTGTAGGACAAGCACAAAGATGAGTCCACTGTTAGAAGTCATATGAACATCTCTTTGTAAATTTCATTAAAGGTGTTTCTGTACTTTCATGAGCTCTGAAACTCTTTAAATAAACCCTCCTTCTGCAGATCATCAGGCATCTGTTTTACAACTACTCATTTAAGAATTGTTTAGATAAAAGGAAGGTTGGAGATTGGCCTGGTACTGTATATTGGTGGTTTAATTACTACCAGCTTAAATGCCTTTGGTACATAGCCCATTAATTGAGTTATGTTGACCATATTTAAGATTGAAGCATTAATTAAGTCGCCCTCAGGATTACAGGCCTGCATTCAATACCGTCAGGCCGACCCTCTTGGGTGATAAGCTGACAGTGATGCAGCTGGATGCCCCTTGTGTCCTGGATTGTTTGAATACCTGACAGTAAGACCAAAATATGTGCATGTTCAACACAAGGGACCATCCACTCCCCTTTTCTCTTCATCCTCTACACCATAAGACTTCAGCAGCTGCACAGTGACCTGCCATCTTCAGGAGTTTTCTGCAGACTCTGCAGTTGGATGTTGGATGCATCAGTGAAGGTGATAAGACAGAGTAATTGGCTCTGGTTTACTCTGTAAATGGTAAATGGAATGGTTCTTATGTAGCGCTTTTCTACTCTGAGCACTCAAAGCACTTTATACAACTCGTTCATTCACTCAATTACACCCATTCACACAAGCACTTTTCTAAGGTTTTAGTGCTAAGGGAGACCCCTTCCCTCCATTGATATTTGCCTTAGTAATAGAGCCCCCTTGCTGAAAGCATATGTAAAGATCCAATTACAACGTTTTTGGTTATAATATTGACACAACTACTAATAAAATCTCACTCTACATGGATAATGTGTTATTATACATCACCCAGCCAGAAAAGACTATTCCTGCTGTATTTGTCAAAATTAAGTTATTTGGGTCCTTCTCTGGATATAGGATGAATCTGAATAAAAGTAAACTAATCCCTATACATGTGAGTAACCCATCTTGGCTACAAAACCTCCCATCCAGCATGGTATAGACAGAGTTTATGAGAAGCTCACTTATCTGGGTACTCAGCTGTTCCTCTCTATTAAAACCTAACTTCTCTCCTTTAATATCTGAGCTTCAGTCAAGTATACAGTTCTGGAACATGCTCCCTATATTACTCATTGGTAGAGTTTATGCAATAAAGATGATAATTTTGCCCAAGTGGTTGTACTTATTATAAAATCTCCCCATGTTCCTTCCTAAATCATTTTTTAAAAACCTGAATTCACTCATCTCACCTTTTTCGTGGGGCAATAAAACACATAGAATTTGCTAGGAAACATCTTTTCAAGTCTAAAATAGAGTGAGGGTTAGTGCTTCCAAATTTCCTGTTCTATTACTGGGCTTCGCATATAAAATTCATGACATTCTGCTTAGCTGACAACAGCAGTCCCCTCACGTGGTTGCAGCTGGAGCTTCTCAGCCTTATTGTATAGGAGCTTTACTGCTGTCTTCCCTGCCCATTGATAAGTCGATGTATGACGGCTACTAAACTACACTTTAATTTGAAGTCTTTATCTTCTATCACACCCACTGTAGGCAATCCATCTTTTCTAGAAAATACATTTAGACTTTGGAAACAGGTGCACAATCAGTTTTGCACAATCAGTAATCTGTACTGGGAGGGTATCTTTGCCTCTTTCAATCAGTTACAAGGGATATACAAGTTACCAGGGAGAGACATTTTCAGATACCTGCAGATACTGTAAGAGACAATGTCAGGAAATGCGTACAGGGTTTTGAGTGTCTATAAGCCACAGTTTAGTTTTTTGCTCTGGTCTCCTGTTAAGACTTGAGTGAGAAACCTTACAGACTAACAATACAAAAAGTAAACAGAGAAAAAATACTTGGCGAAGTTTTCATGATGTGATTTTTTTTACAAACTTTTAAAGATTATATAATTTGCTCTTGACTGTTAATATACACCTTATAAGAGACAACAGTAAATGTGAAAGAAGCTAAAAAGAAATTGGTCTTCCACTAATTTAGAAAAATGTTACCTAGCATGGATGTCTTTATGATAAAAAACCTATATATTATTCATGATTAATAAACATTTTCATTCTTTCATCTAGTACAACAACAAGAGGCAACCGTAAGATCTATGACAGTAGATAAATGCTATATATGACCGAATCTATTTACCACCTTTGTCCTATTGACTCCCTCACTAAACTAGCTTTAACTGTCACTTGATCGAAATCATCAACATTTATTTAGCATGTCTAAAACAATTCAATATTTACAGTATTTTCCGCACTAAGGCGGACTTAAAATCCTTTAATTTTCTTAAAAATCCACAGTGCGCCTTATATTGCGGTGCGCCTTATGTATGAATTCTGGTTGTGCTTACGGACATCGAACCAATTTTATGTGGTACACGGCGCAAAAATCTGTCAAAAATGCTTTAGTATGACTTTGGTAAGCCATGAAGCCGCACCGCTTGATGGATTGTTGAGGCATTACAGCTACTGTAGTCAGGAGCCTTGAGTAATCTGGGTTCAAAACTCTGTCCGCTCTAGGTCCCAAAGTCACTGCGGCATCACTGAGAGTTAAAAACTGTCTAAATTCTTTCATCTTTAAATGGTAAATGGCCTGCATTTGTATAGCGCTTTTCTAGTCCCTAAGGACCCCAAAGCGCTTCACACTACATTCAGTCATTCACACATTCACGATGGCAAGCTACATTGTAGCCACAGCTACCCTGGGGCACACTGACAGAGGCGAGGCTGCCAGACACTGGCGCCACCGGGGCGCCATCCCACCTTACAGGTGTGGCATGTCAAGGTGCTGATTAGGTAGCATGAACATTGCACAGGTGCGCCTTAGGTCACTCTGAAATATGCAGTTTGATAACACAGCACAATGCTACAGATGTCGCAAAACCAGTCAGTATCTGGTGTGGCCACCATTTCTCTCACAATGGTGCCTCACACAGTAAGGAAAATGGTGTGCAGTGGGCATAGAGTTGATCAGGTTGTTGATTGTGGGCTGTGCAATGTTGGTGAACTCCTCTTCAATACTTGTGCAAAGTTGCTGAATATTGGCAGGAACTGGAACACGCTGTCATGCTGTCATGCTGAGCTGAGCGTCCCAAACAGTCTGGTGAGTATGCTGGCCATGAAAGAACTGGGATGTTTTCAGCTTCCAAGGAATTGTGTACAGATCCTTGCAATATGGGGCTGTGCATTATCATGCTGTAACATGAGGTTTTGATCATGGATAAATGGCACAACAATGGTCCTCAGGATCTCAACAAGGTATCTCTGTGCATTCAAAATGCCAACAATAAAATGCACTTGTGTTCATTGTCCATAACCCCACCGCCATCATGGGCCACTCAATCCACAACGTTGACGTGATCATGCTGGATGTGGAGGTCCTGGGCTGGTGTGGTTACATGTGGTCTGCGATTGTGAGGCCGGTTGGATGTACTGCCAAATTCTCTGAAACGCCTTTGAAGATGGCTTATGGCAGAGAAATGAACATTCATTTCACAAACAACAGTTCTGGTAGACATTCCTGCAGTCAGCATGCCAATTGCACACTCCCTCAAAAGCTGCGACATCTGTAGCATTGTGCTGTGTGATCAAACTGCATATTTCAGAGTGGCCTTTGATTTGCGGCAGTCTAAGGCACACCTGTGCCATATTCATGCTTGCTAATCAGCACCTTGACATGCCACATCTGTGAGGTGGGATGGATTATTTCGGCAAACGAGAAGTTCTCACTTACACGGATTTAGACAGATTTCTGAACAATATTTGATAGTAATGGGTCCTTTGTGTATGTCGAAAATGTTTCAGATCTTTAAGTTCTGCTCATGAAAAATTGCAGCAAAAACAGAAGTTGCGTTTATATTTTTGTTGAGTGTAATTGAGTGCTTTAGACCGACAACCAACATTCCTTTTACTGATAAAGTCCTTTAAAATCCCTGTGTCTGTGAAAGGAATCAATTGTTTGAAAAGTTTCAGTTAGCACAAAAACGGATGTCCAGTCAGTTACTAACAATCTCCTAATGGCGCCAGACAATGGACTGTTTCTATGCATGTCCTGCTGGATCATTGTTGCTTTTGACACCAGTAATCGCAAAATTGAATTGCACTGGAACAACTGAGAATGAAAACTATACTACAGTGATTTGAGTCATATTTATTGGATTAATTAATTTTTAAAATTTAAATGATGAGCCTTCCACACACAAAAGTTAGTTATACAATTCCACAGGGCTCCCATTCTGATAATCTCATTATACTAATCATTAAGAATCTTCAAAGTTTATGAAAAAGAACCTACAAAAATCAGAATATATTTTTTTGCAATGTAAAAAATCTTTGCATTTTAAAATTATATTAAGCAATCCTTCCTAGTCTTTATAAAACACAAAGCAACTCATATTTAGGAAATATGGCGTAATGAATGTTACTCCAGACAAAAGTGTTTGTACCTGATAGAGCTCAATTCGTTGCTCAGACACTCGGGCCCCAGGGTTTTGAAGACGGAAGATCCTGAGCTCTGCCTTCACCAAGTTGGAGGCATTCTTCTCCATAGAGGACACATCAAAAGTCAGCCGCCGGAAGTAAGGGCTGAAGAGTGTGGGAGAAATAACATCTGCAAAAAAATGTAAAGGAATTGTGTGAATAAGGATTGGATACTTTATGACTGCTAATGGAACGCTTGCTTTGGACTGAGGCAGTCAATTCCAACTACTAAAATGAAACTACAATTAAGGAAAGACATCACAGCCTGAGAGGGTTGTGGGACTGAAGTTCAATGGTCCAATCCCCTACTAGTCAAGACTGCTTGAGGAGTTCTTCAGCAAGACATTACAAAATTGTCACCACCAATTAGTGTTAGTTTGCATCTGATAAAGTGTTGTAAGTGGTGCTTTCAGTGGTTACCAGACAAGAAAAGTGCTGTATGAATGTTAGTGCATGTACCATTTACAACTGCGCCCACAAATTACACATACTTTGTCATTATCTTCTAAACACAAGCAGAAAGGGAGGGGCAGTCTTCCATTGTATTAATCAAAGACACAGCCAAGGCATACCAGTGGCCAAGGGAATAGTGGGTGCTATGGCAGGTTCCTTTGCTCTTACTAACAAGAGGTATCACCTTGTCCACCCCTAATCTTTCAAGATTAATGGATTAGGCAGGATAACTTGGTGGGACAATGCTTAGTGGTGCGCTCACAACAGATAGGGACATGTAGTGTCTGTGCTGCACTCAGTGGTGATGCTAGGTTGATGCTGACTTTGGGGCGGGTCTTCCCTCTAGACTGGTTAGAGAAAATCGGCCACAGATTTTTTTTCTCCCACTTGTGGCACTAGGGGTAGCAGTAGGCTAGGCCAGATGGCTCCCTGGCCTAAATGCTTGATTTAGACTTCTCAGGAAATCTACATCCAAACTTAGATGGTAACCAGAATCGCCTTTTAATCCCTATACTGCAACGTTACATTCCAATTGTTGTGGTATGCATCAAACCGACATGTAGTTACATTTCTCAAGAGTTGCACACCAGGCTACGTAGAAGCTTGTGGCGAAGGGTTAAAATGGGACTCCCAGTTATGGCTTAAGTTATGACGTAGATCTGATGCAGAAATATAATTCACACGTAAATGAAGTGAGGCTGGTTATTGCAGCTGTGGCCAGTTGCTTAATTATGCCTCCCCCTGTCTTTGAGAACAATAGTATAGTAAGCAAATAACCAGCTGAAAATGCAAAGGGAAATACAAAAAGAACTAAAAAGAAATGGTGTTGCACCAAGCTGAACAACCCTGTGTTGTGTCAAGTTTCCTCAAATCAGGTGAACCAACACAAAGCCTACTACAGTCATTACAGTGTGTGGCTATTGATAAAGATGTTGACAAGGGCAGCTTCATTAAAACATTTAATTTATAAATAAAGTCAACTGACTTCTCTCAAATATAAATAAACCCATTCATTATTTTAATTACACCTTTCTGGCATACAGAAAATAAACATTTAATAGTACTTCTTCAAATCTTCTTTGCTCCTACCATTTTTTTTAAATGTTAGTATTTATATGTGGACTATGTTACTTTTTGAGAAATGTTATTAAAATTGCTGTAACCACATCTAAGAAAGTCATGAACCTATTGTTTACTTGCATTTCATGTACGATTACAGTAGAGGACACCTACCTACAATTCCCACACAAGTCAGCTATCTTGTTAACAGTGCTGCAGCCTCACTGTGTATGACACTCAATACTGTTGGTCCCTTTGAAAAAACAAGCATTGAATCAGAGAAGACCAGATTCTTGGTACAACTCAGAAGAGAATAGAATAGAATAGAGAATAGAAAAACAGTAAAGAGTAGCTGAAAAGCATGGACAGATATATTTTGTGGCTGGGCTTTTTCCATAAGGAGTGTCCCTTTCATGGCACAAAATTTGGGGGGAAGCGTATTTAAATCACATAAATATGATTTATGAAGATTAGTGTTAAATGTACTATTTTTCTGTTTAGTGTTAAACCTACAAAAGTTTTGGTTCCAAGAGTATATGGGGCTTGTGACATTTGAGGTGTTTTATTTATTGGGAATGAGAGTGGGAAATGTTTTCAGAACTAGTGCATAATAGTCCCAGGCAGATGGTGCAATGCTTTGAACATAGTCCAAAAATTCGACCCTGCCCTGTAACTCTTCACTGAGTCCTCACCTTGCATGTTTAAGTCCCTTTCTGTTCCTCTATAGTAATACTCATATTTTATTGAAACCAATCTTAACTGAGATGTTGCAGTTTTTTGTCACATTTCTACACAGAGATCAGTACAAAATTAAAACATATTTCCTCAGCAGAACAATTTTCATGTGGTTTCTTTCTTTTGGTTGCTACCTTATTCACAAGCTACTCAGTGTGGAACTACCACACTGGGTAGCTCCACATTTGATATTGCAGAGAGCACGCCCAAACACGCAGATCGTCCCAAGCAGCCAGGAAATCAGATTTTTTCAGACATATCTTAAATTGAACATCATATTGACAACCAGGTTGGGTCATGGTTGGATGTCCAAATTGTGGGCCTAGTTTAGAAAACTTATGTCCAGAATTGGTCATGGAGCAACGGACCCAATATAGAAATGATCCGCGTATCTATCTGACACATCCCATGTTTAGTGGGAACGACCTTGATGACCTCTAATCTTCTGTTTCTGAATTCAGTTAAAACTGAGATTATTGTATTAAACTTAGGCATAAAAGATCTCTTAGGAGTATGGCATCTAACCAGATGCTTACTTTGGTTGGCATTACTTTAACCTCCAGTAACAATGAGGAATCTTGAAGTTGTTTTTTTTCCTACAATGTGCATATTAAACAAATGTCTAGGAACACTTTCTTCCATTTTTGCAATATCTCTAAAATTAGAAACATCCTGTCTCAGCGATGCTGAAAAACTAGTTTATACATTTATTATTTCTAGGCTGGACTACTGTAATTCATTATTATGAGGCTGCCACAAAAATATCCTGAAAAGCCTTTGGTTCATCCAAAATGTAGCAGCAAGAATACTGACAGACTAGACAGACTGACAGACTAGAGAAAGCATATTTCTCCTATCCTGGCTTTTCTTCATTAGCTCCCTGTTAAATCCAGAATTAGTTTAAAATCCTTCTCCTTGCATACAAGGTCTTGAATAATCAAGACCCATCATATCTTATATTAATCTATTGAAAGTTGGTGCTACTAATTCCTAGAGGTGTTCCAACTCTTGGCTTTATAAAGTGAATTTCCTGATTTAAATTGATTTTAGTTTGAATAATGCGATATTGATTCATTAATTCTAAAAACTAGTGCTGTCAATAGATTTGAAAAAATCAAAAAAAACAACTAATTAATCTCACAATTTTCTGTAATTAATCACAATTACTTGATCAAGAGCATGGTTGCAGTTACATTTTTTTAACTTTATATTTAAGCTTGTAACTGACATTTATGCAATATAAGGATGTAAATGCAGAATAAACACAAAGAATGTATGCTTAAATTCAAAGAGAATTTGAATAGTTTTCTTTAATCTTTTAGCACAGGTTCTCTCCTGTGAAATACAACTTAAAAAAAAAAAGTACACACAAATATATAATATATATTAGTGCTGTCAAACAGTTAAAATCTTTAATCAGATTCATCACAGGGTTACTGTGGATTAATTTTGATTAATCACGATTAAATATCATTCATTTTTATTCTATATTAATCACATTTCATTTTGCATGAGCAAACAGACGAGAAAAAAGGGAAAATATATGCACTTAACATGTTTATTGAACATCTTGAACATTCATGTTAACAAAAAACTCTGACAGAGAGAGTGGATAAATGTTTACACTCTTGGGGAGGCACTTCAATGTCCTTGAAACGAGGAACCAAAGATATACTCTGGCTGCAACATTTTGGATTAAATGTTTTTAAGACATCCTTATAATAGTGACATACAATAGTCCAGGCCAGAAGTAATAAACGCATGAACTAGGTTTTCCACTGGTTCTTATATAGCTCTTTTCTATTCTACTTGAGCGCTCAAAGTACTTTATACTAGAGCAGGGCGATATGGCCAAAAATATTTATCACGATATATATTTGAAAATTTGCGATAACGATATAACTGACGATATAATTGATGCGAGACAAAATACAACTCCACAACATTACTAGCGCAAAAAGACAACCTTCCATTTATTTTCACTTAAACAAGAAGCTGGTTTTTATGTACATTAAAGCTTTATAAAAATGTAACAGTGCAAATGCAAATTCCTTGCTGAAAGTTTAACCAAAAGGCATTTCCAGTAGAAATGGGCTGACATATCCTGAGCATAACCATGTATAATATCCACTGAAGTTAAAAAGAGGTGCTTTGCAACATTAAACTGCAGTGTGCAGTACGTATTTTTCGGACCATAAGGTGCACGGGATTATAAGGCACATTAAGCGAAACAAAGCAGTCAGATAAATCAAACTTTATTAAACTCATTCTTCTTGCTTCCTCCACTTCTGTACCATTGATTCATTAATGTTGAATTCTCTGGCAGCTGCTCTATTCCCATGTTGTTGCAGTATATTAATGACTAACCTCGTATTGTGGATGGATTATCTCAGTTGTTCTCCTGACTGAAGTTTGGTCCGTTTACAGCATCCTGCCATGCGATTGCATTTGTCTCTAACCATGAGGAACCTTCACGTTAACTTTTATAAGTGGAAAAGTGTTAGTGTTCGTCCTCCAGCTTCACTGTTTATGTTATGCTAACATAGCTGTGTCGCTAGCGATCACGTAGCACATCATTATATACCAGCTAGCCCAACTTCAGTAACCCTACAAACGTCACTGCTGTTTAGTTTCCTGTCTTCATTTATGTTGGAAGTGATAGCAGAGCTGTACGTTTGATTTTTTTCAGAAATCTCTCAGTCAGAACATGCTATATCATGCTTAGGTAACTAGCGAAACTAGCGAGCTAACTTCCGCTAGCTTCCTGCTAACTTCTAACTCCGTTAAATGTAATAACTTTTGTTTTCATGGATGCCTGGAAGTTAAACTTTATAGTTACACCTGGTAAAGCAGCAATGCTGATCGTTTTATTAAAGATGAAAG